TCTCACACTTAATGTTCATGGCTATATGAAGTTGGTTTCACTTACTTGAGCTGAGAAAACAGATGCTCGCCATCACCAACCAGCGCCCACTCACGGCCATCGCTCTCTCGGCGATAGCCTCCCGCTGAACTCTAAGTTACTTGATATTATTCAAAAGGCAAAAGGTAAAAAGGTTCTTTGATTAAGTCTTCTAGGGTTTATATAACCTCTCTTTGCTGATTCTTCGTGTTCCGGGTATATTGGCCTGCCCATTCTGACGTGATTTTGGGTCGGTGTGGCCCCCTCATTGGTTGCCTATCGAGAAGGGGTTGACTCTTTCGGGTCTCCCGCCTCCTCCGACTCAGCGTTTTCCTCCTGCCATAGTGTTTATGACCTACTTCATATAGCTTCTTCCTCAATGTCAGCGTATTACGCTGCCGTGCTAGCATTCTACTGACTCAGGAATTGCCTGTCACACTTGTTTGTAAATCCAAGCTTCCTGGTTCGTTTCATCATGGCTGTTTCTTAATCTTACAGTCTAACTACTATTATTCCAAATTTACCCAAAAACTATATCTACGAGTACCTGACCTTTGCGCCGTTACACTTGAAATAACTCCTTGATCCATCGGTTGGATAAGTGCAGTAACATTAGGAGGAAAATATTTCACAAAAATATTTCCATCATCTGACCTCAGGAGACTTTCGTTAGGATGTGAGGGTGCATTGTCAATGAGGAGCACAGCTTTCTCAGGTAGGCCTTGGGATTTTAGATGGTCACAAACTTGAGGCACAAATTTAAAATCAAACCATTCTTTAAATATCGTTCTATTCATCCAAGCTCCTTTGTGATTAAAATAATGGATAGGCAGACTTGAAGCTACTGTTCCTTTAAAAGAGCGTGGTCTTTTTCCTTTGTCAATAACTACTGGTGTTAGTTTGTGTGTTCCTGATGCATTAGAACAGCACAAGGCTGCCAATCTCTCTTTACTGGATTTGTGACCTGGAGCCTGTCTTTCATTTTGAAATGCCAAAGTTCTGGTTGGCAAGCGTTTCCAATAAAGACCCGTTTCATCGGCATTATACATTTGTTCTGGCAGCAGATTTTCACTTTTCATGAAACTGTCAAAATTGGTGCAAAATTGAACTGATGATGACAAGTCCCCTGACAATTTCTCACCTTGAATACTAATTTCTCGTATTCCATGACACTGCTTGAAACGTGTTAGCCAACCCAAAGAAGCGTCAAAACTTTCTTATAGTTCAAGTGCTTCGGAAAAAAATTTCGCTTGTTTAGCACAAACTGCTCCTGTTATTATTGTTCCCTGTGCCCTTAATTGATTAAACCAGATCAGCATTGCTTTTTTGAGATCATCATATGTTGATTTTTTCATGGTTTTTCTCTTCTTCATTCTGCTTGAATTAGAAGGCGAAGCAAAGGGAATTTATTGATTCTTTTGTTTTTTCAAATCATGAACAGTTTGTTCTCCAGTACTGTATTTCATTGCTAATTGTTTAACTACACCTCTTTTTCCCAACTGATTGATAATTTCAAGTTTCTGTTGAATACTTAACACAACACGCTTCCTTTTACACCCTGACATTTTGCTAACGCACTTGAAGATTGATAAAAAGAGACTAACTGGGGGGAGGTGTATCTGTCCTTAAAACTTTCCACAAATCCTTGCATTCTTTCACCCCTACCCTAGAACATTGTGTTAGCATAACGGGTCCAAAAAATGCAGAGCTCGGTTCACGCTAGTGCGAAAATAGTGTTACAACTCACCATGTGAAAAAAAAGTGAATGAATATTAAACAGCATATAAGCCTCAAAAAAGCCCTGGTTAAGCCACAAACTGGTTTATCCGCCCCCGGATAATCGAGAGTTGAGTGTATGCCAACTCTTGTATTGTCAAGATGTCTCACATTTTGTATGTTGATGTTTTGATAACGTTTTCCTGAATCTATATTTTAAATTGTTGGAAATAGACCTGGAAGTTGATATACCATTATAAACGCCATCTGCTTACTGCTTCTAAAGCCAGAAAAGTCATTGAGACCATATCAGGAGATTTCTGGATCAGCAGAAGTACTTCAAAATGAGATATTTGATATAGTTATGCCATTTCCTGACAAATGTATGAATTATGTGCAGTAGAGGACCAAAAGTAAAAAAGTAAAGTAAGTAAAGGTATCCCTGTAGCAGGCTGTGGAGGCCCATAGGGTTGTGAGGTGTTGAGGTTCCCACATTTTCTAGATAATTGGCTCAGAGATGGCGGCAAGGTTGTCAGCCCTACGTACTGGCTGCCCTTTACCCCCAAGAATATTCCAAGATTATTCCTGGTACTCATTTATGTTAGAGGCTGAGTTGAATCCAGGACCATAATGCGGCTGGGAGGATTAGGTCAATTGAAAAAATCCAATGACCTCATCAGGACTTGAACCCACAACCTTCTGGCTTGTAGGATAATGCCTCAACCAACTATGCTACCGCATGCCCTGCAGTAGAGGACCAAGCTGTAATTATCTGTCAGATTAAATTATGGATGTAAGACTTCAGAATTAGATATTTGGCATAATAATGCCATCCCTCAATAAATGCATGAACTGCGTGCAGTAAAAGAACCAGCCTCTTACCACATGCATAGATTAAATTGTAACATGTTTGAAACATAAGGTTGACAAAACCACTCACTCATTCCCGGCCCATGTTGCCAGGGGACCACAGTCAGACCAGTCCAGAGGGCCTGCCATAATCAGTGGAGACTCTAATGTTGCCACTTCCCCGTCCAGTCAGCAGGGCCACAGTTCGAGAAGCAAAATGGTTGGTACCATCAGGTATCAAGTTGTAGACGCCAGAAAATGCAATATTTTTCTTATTGTTTCGTACAATATTGTCATATGTAAGCATATACTAAATAATACTGAAAATATTCCATCTTGCAAGATTTTATATTGCTCTACATATATTTGTTATCATTGAAGTTTCCAACTTTATATAGTTTTTATTTTTTGATGTTCCTAATACAGAATGGAAATCTGTGGGACGGTTTGGCTTCGTAGTTGTGTTATAATATAAACAGAGGTTCCATGAGAAGTTAAAAATGTTGTCGAACTTTTGTACTGTTTGCATGAAATATGTGGCAGTTTGTGTTGTTACCAATATGCTCATTAAGTTGTTGAATCTTCCAGAATGTTAAACATCTTCCATGTTATGAGTCCCGCAGATGTAATAATGCACATCTTCCATCAGTGTTGACGGAGATAGCCTAAGTGGATTGTAAAAATAAACATATCGAGTTTACGGAATAATGACGTGATACCCAATTTCTGCCTCTTTCTGAAGACTGAATACCTGTAGGGTGACCAGGTTTATATCCATCAATAGTGGACATTAATTGAAGTTTAACATAGCGCTACAGTTCTTGTGCTGTTATCCCTCAATTGAGGGACGTTTCTACACAGTAATGATGTGTAATGGGGGACAGTGTGCCAAACACTGCCATGTTTGAGTTCCATGAATTTTATGTTTAACTGCAGCATGATCAGTAAGGATATTTTTATAGTGCAGATTGGTGAACATATAAAAGTTTACATACTAATATCAGGATACTTTTATTTTGAGTCATTTTTTAAACAAACTGTTGAAGTAAACTTAATTGTAATTAGTTACATTGTTAACATTTACTAAATTTGATCAGAAAAACACAGTTTTTATTATTCTGGAAGTTTTTGAGGAGGAATATTTGGGTGTCCAGCTGGGCATCAAATACAGACCAAACAGTGCTGCTATCTGTTAAAGTCTCCAGGCACATTGCAGCCAATCTTATTTTCTTTAAGTTGTGAGACCACATTGCAGACTGGTTAGCAAACCTAACTGTTTTCGTCTTCAGAGCAAGTTAACAGTGGTCTGACACTGACATTCATAGTTCAGGTAGCAAGGTACAATTACAGGGAATATCACATCCCAGTCAACCTGCAAACCAGCCCCCCCAAACACAGTATTATCACCCAGGAAGTAGCTGGTTTCAGTATCAGAATAATCATTGCTTTCTCCCATGAAGCTAGAATCGATGTTCTTCACGTCTGGTTGAATAGTTGGAACCATGAAAAGTGCTACAGGGTCCGGATATTATAGAAATTCTGATGTGACAAGGTTGAGGGCATGGTGTCTTTCAGCTTTTCAGTGAGGTACCAAAATGTGACAGCTTTTCTGCAAATCTGCCCTGTAAATTCCATAGTTCCTGTATTTGTGAAGCTCAAAAAATTTTAATGAAATTCCATTTTAGACACGTACATTTTTAGCATAGCTTTTGCCCTTTACAACACATGAAGATATAGGTGAAGGATTGCATATATACACATATAAAAAGCTAAATTCAGTAATTAAGAAGAATTTTAAAAATAAGATGAGGGGAGACATTTTGTTGTCACTACATAATGTACTGTTTTGGAAGTGGGGGGGGGGATAGAAGATAGGAGATATCATAACTCGTTATTAAGAGTAACTTCACAAGACAGAATACCAAATGAAACAATAAAATGATTTATTGTAAATGGAGAATGTGACAAAAGAAATAAAGAAATATCGTTTAAACTAGAAACAACATGAAAATGGGATGCAAGATAACAGACTGCCAAAATTAGAGTAAATATGTGCACCTAAAAGAGAAAGATGTGGGAAGACAAATAAATGGGTAGAGAGAACAGTTTTAAAATTTCTGAACATGGAAACAAGGTTATAGTACTCAGTCCTTGACATAGAAGAAGTAGAAGGAGACCATTTTCATTTGTGATTATACTGCTGCCTGTTTTGCTTTTCTTATTAAGCTAAAAATAATCACAGCAAACTATTATGTTCAGAAAATGATTATCAACTCTTACATTTTGTAATATCCTGTGAAGTTGTTCTGAGTGTCTTTGCATGTTGTCAAAAACAGTATGCATCATCTCAGTATTATATGCAGTGTCATGCAGACAGTTCAGTAAGTCTGTCTAAATATGTGCTCTGTGTTGCTAGTTGTTCAAGTGTAAAAGGGGTAACAAGCGGTTCCAAGCAGAACTTGGAATCTCTGCTTTCCTACAGCATAGATTTCTAACCAATGCAGAGCAGTTACCATTATTTTTATTATTGTTGTTTTAATTTAATTTAATTTTGTGAAGGCCTTGTGACTTAAGTATAAAATCAGTCAAATGTTAGTTTAAAGATTTCATTTTGTAGAATTATAGAATATGCCGCAGTTTTCTTGCGATTTCATCCACAAAGCTTTTTTGCAATCCAAGTAATTTAAATTTAATTTGTTTCATTCTGGTCTGTCACACTAACAGGTTTACAATTAAGTTTATTTCAGTCCAATGTGACAATGTTCCACCACTTTAGCACTTAGTTACCCAACATGTTTCGATTCATAATGAATCATCATCAGAGGTATGCCTCTACGATCAGGAATCCACTAATACATAAAAGTTTTTAAGAGTAGAAACACTTAAAACCTTTTATGATGCTCACTATATGTAGTTGTTGATTTTTGTCATATAGACATTGGCGTATTTTTTTTTGTAATAAGAATGTTTTTGAATTGTATTACTTAGAAGTGGCGTAGTTGCAATCACTTCCCTAATGGATAATTAAAAAGTTCCACTGTATTTTGTATAAAAAATTCAATTTGTTTCACCACAGTGTGATTTGTGTGCGTGCTGTGCACAAGCAGCACAGCACGCACACAAACCACACCGTTAATAACAAGAACACACCACCAAGGGATAGATGACAATTCCTCTATTAAGGAAGATATAACCAACCCACACTGGTTCACGAATAAAATTCTTATCTTAAAATAAGTTTATGCACACACACATAAAATTATTTTAACGTAAGGAAGGCTGCTGTGGTGAAACATATTGAATTTTTTATACAAAATACAGCGGAACATTTTTAATTATCCATTAGGGAAGTGATTGCAACTACGCCACTTCTAAGTAATACAATTCAAAAACATTCTTATTACAAAAAAAAAATACGTCAATGTCTATATGACAAAAATCAACAACTACATGTAGTGAGCATCATAAAAGGTTTTAAGTGTTTCTACTCTTAAAAATTCTTACCTATTAGTGGATTCCTGATTATAGAGGCATACCTCTGATGATGATTTATTATGAATGGAAACATGTTGGGTAACTAAGTGCTAAAGTGGTGGAAGCATTAAATGTCACATTGGACTGAAATAAACTTAATTGTAAACCAAGTAATTTAATTTGAAGATTGTATCTTTTGGAATATGATGCCATGTTTGGTGGATAGGTACCATCATTTTGGAGGATCATGCTGTCTCCATCTTTGTTGTGGCAGAGGGAGGAGGTTCATTTGCATTGTTGATGCCTGTACACCAACTCCATGGCATCATTGCCCAGAAGTCTATAATCTTAATACTCACTGCTGTGGGAACCTCAGACTCATAATTTGGGAAGAAGAGAATAAATAGTTAAAACACATAATATTTTTGGATATCTGGTCATCCTACATACTTGTGAAGTTTGTGTAATCAAAATCTTGTTGTGTATGTATAGCAATAGATCCTAGTTAACCAGTAAAACAGAAGAAGTGTCATTGAAACAAACCGTCATCAACATCTGAGTGTCAGTAAGAAGTTTGTTATGTAATAAATACCGTGATGTTTATTTCTGGATATATGTTTGTGTCACACACTTATGTATTGAGACATAGGTGTAAAAAGAAATTCTCATGTTGCAGATTTAACGAATACAATTTGAGAGCTTAATTTATGTAAAGGCTGTAAAATGTGATGGCATAATTTGCCAGACATTAAGAGTGTTAAATATTCAGGGAAAAATATTGCATGAAACCGCACTTTACTTTAACCTTTTACATACTAATTTTTTTATCTATATCTATGAGTAAACTTCAGTTTCTGGTTGTGTATGTCCTTCTTAAGGAGCAGTTTCTGCAAAATGAACATCCTCATAAAGGAGCTGTATAGAAATGGCACTGAATGTTAGGCATATATGAATTTCCTGTGTTCACAGAATACATTTTTCATCCCAAGGAATATCATCATTAACTGTTCATGATTATTAGAATTTCATTTTTCTGCCCTATGTCCTGAAAATTTGATTCCACCACAGAGAATCTCATGTTCAAAATTTCATCACAGCAGAGTGAATCTAAAGTCAAAATTCCACCCCAGTACACAGTAAATGTAATCTTCAAAATTCTTTCACAACAGAATGATCTAACATTCAAAATTCCATCTCAATACACAGTGGATGTAATATTCAAAATTCTATCACAGCAGAGTGAAGCTAATGTTAAATAATTCCATCCCAGTACACAGTAAATCTAATGTTCAAAATTTTATCACAGCAGAGTGCATCTAACATTGAAAATTCAATCTGAGTACAGGGTGAACCTAATGTTTAAAATTCTTTCACAGCAAAGTGAATCTAATGTTAAAATATTCTGCCCCAGTACACAGTGAATCTAATTTTCAAAATTCTATCACAGCAAAGTGAAACTAATGTTCAGAAATTCCATCGCAGTACACGATGAATCTAATGTTGAAGGTTCTATCACAGCAGAGCAAATCTAATATTCAAATTCTATCTGAGCAGATTGAATGCAATGTTCAGAATTTTATCCAAGCAGAATGAATCTAATGTTAAAAATTCTATCCCTTCAGGGTGTTATCACATGACCAAAATGTCTGAATTACTGACTCATGTGCCTGGTCCTGCTGGGTGTAGTGTCACAAGCCAAGTCAGACAGTTTTCATAAGAATTACAAGAAATGTGTTTGTGTTGAAACCTAGCAGGACAGACTAATATTCAGTGTGAACCTCCCAGACTACTGCTCATCCTGACTGAGGTTTCCTCTAGTTTTATTCTGTAGCCCAGAACCATCCCTTTCCTTACTCTTCTTTCAGTTTCATCCCCATCTTATGTTGTAACTGAATAACACAAGAAATATAACAATTTGTAGCCAGGAAATGGGAAAACTTTAAAATTAAATATTCTGCTTGGCAGTGCCATCCCTTAATATCTGTATGAAATACAATCAATAGAAAACCAGCATCTAATCATCACCCAGATGGAATCATGATAGGCCTAGAAGAATCTGCATTGCTAGCTCATTCAGTTTGTTAACAAGGAAAGAGTTAACCTTGAAATAATAACAGTAAACTGTATATTGTTAAATGGCACTTGCTTGTTGAAAGGTGTTACAAAAGGAATGCTAAATGTATACACACAGAAATGTTAATTAAAGTAATAATTTCACTTTTTCTGTATTCATTAAATGTATTTAACTTCAAATGTTATTATTCGTTTGGTGATTGTGCTTATAGTTCATAAAAAGACAAAATGCAGGATTTTTAATGCTTGGAATAATGGTAAGTGAAGATTTCTCTCAAAGTTTCTTTTCTTTTAAGATCTAGAGTGTGTTTTTTACCATTTTGTTATTAGTAAAATTTACATTGTCTAGCAATCGATTATAGATTTCATGCTCAGGATCAGAAACATAAGCTGCAAGAAGAGTTGCAGTGGGGTTTTCAACCACTGATTGGATGCACACACATATATAGGAAAAATGTTATCCAGTCACTGGCCATATGAAACTGTTGTGTGCATTTTTATATATAGCATGACCTTTCAAGGAAATATGGAGTTGTAATGGTAATTTGTGCAATTTTAAAAATACTTTTATTCCTAAATATCTCAAAATTGTAAATAATAAATAAATTATACTTATGTCAAAATAAATATGATATTTTTTATTGCTTTGTGCATGGTGTATGCCGATTTAAAAATGTTTACTAACAATTTTCTATTGCAGATGATTAATACTGCTTCTTTTTTTATCCTGTCTGTCTTGTACCTTGCAAAATCTCATTAAAAAGCTGTTATACGTAAATAAGATAACAACACAATCTAGTGTGTGTCTAAGCATTCAGTACTAATTCTTGTCATTTCACATCCATAACAGTGAACTGCAACATCAGTCAATTTTACTGTACTTTAACCCCTTCACTGTCAACCTAGACTCATGTCTCATAGAGAACTTATTTTGTTGTATACTGTCATACCACTTACTCTATTGCATTGCTCCCTCTCTCTTTCTGCTATCTCTTTGCAATTATATGTGATGAACCGGCAATAGACAGTGACTTAAGAACTCATGACATGTGCAGACACACATTTCAGTGTTTGAAACTGAACTCTTCTGAAAATTGCTGCTGTAATGGTGTAAGGTTCATTGTGAGCCAGCTTACATAGCATGCAGTTCAGTGCAGTCAGTCACAGCAGTGCTGTCCGAAAAAATTTATCTGCACTGTGTTCTTTTCAGCTACAGTTTCTTTTTCTATTATTTTTGTTTGATATTCTCTTAGAATATTAGGGCACAAATGAATTCACTCTTTTTCAAAATATGTTGTATGACTGTTATCCCATAGGATCTCATGTAACAATGTTTGCAGAGAAGGGAGTAAAATAACAGATGCAAGGACTTTGCAGCCCCTTCCCTCTTTTCTATGGATACTCTGATCACCAGCTCTTCTCCCTCCTTCTGGTAAGGCAAAGCCTGGTGCAGACATTTGTCAGTTCTTGGTCATGATGTAGAGATGGTGATCTCCTGGCTTATGACATTGAAAGGGTTAAAACAGGTTCTTATAATTGAATTGAATTACTGATTGAAACTGTTTTGTGTAAAATAATGTAAAACAATTTAACTTTATACTTATATCCTGACAGAGGCCAGTGATGGTTATGTAGCCTCCAAAAGTGATGAAGTCTGTAGGTGACAAATAGAATAGTTACATGTTCTTCTTAGTCGATAGTTCTGTTCCTGTCCGCATAACTCTTTGTCTTGGTTCATATGCAGCACAGTTGTACATTCTTTGTCTAATTTATTTATTTTATCTTCCAGCTTGTGCTGTCACATAAAACTGTTCAGTATTTTTTTGTCCTCCACATAAGTCAGTTAATGAGTGTGAAACTATCTGCTATCTTTGAAACAGGCCAACACATGCTCCTCATTCTGTGGTAGCTTTTTTGTATTCAGACCCTCATACAGTCTGTTCTCCTTCAATTGAAGACCTTATTTTCAGGACTGTAAAGTTACCTCAGAGGTTAGAATAGTTGCTAAAAATGGAACAACATCAAGAAATGCACATAGAATCTTTGTGGGGAATTGTTTGGAAGATGGTCACTTGGAAGGCCAAGAAGGAGATAGGATAACATTAAGCTGAATCTTGTGAAAATATTTTGATTGTGGGAGCACCAAACATTGCAATTAGTAGCTTGAGATGTTGCTTCATATTCCAAAGGTTGTGGGTTCAGATTTTGGCATGGAAACTGGGTATCCTGACTCAGACTTTGTTGCTGTTTTTCTCAGTTGCTCCATACAAACAGTGAGATATAGAACAGGAAGTGACCGCATCCTCGCAAGACCTTTCCAGTTCAACATCACAATCATTCTTTCATCTGATGCATGCAACTGGGAAAATGTTGCTAAATAATGCAAGAATCCATCAGTCAGAATGGGAGGTTCCATGGATGACTCGTTTAGGTGCTTATATAGTTACATGTATGGTGCCAAGCCTTCAGGAACTAAGCTACTTTGTGAAGAGTAAACCTTGAACACCCACTTGGAGTAACAGTTTGCCATAATTCATGACATAGTTTAATCATTTTATGACCATCAGTGTCCGTATCAAGACAAGATAACATTTTCAATCAGTACAAATGTTAAGATGATAGTTCTAAATTGTTTAATAAGCATCATTGTCCAAATCAAGACAAGATAACATTTTCAGTCAGTAAAGATATTCAGATGCTGCCAGATGATCCATACATTTTCCTTATGATGACAAATTTATTCTTAACATTAAGGTCTGTGTTAATTTATATTTTATTAAAAGAAAATGGTATGAAGTTTCAGCAAATGTAAATAATTTCTTTTAAACGCAGCTTTATCAAGATTTGCATTGTCTTTAAAACTGACATGTAGTTTATAGGTATGATAAGTTTGTAATTAGTATTGCTATATATTTATTATTATTTAGAGTGTGAAAATTGTAAAGGCCATATGAGTAGTTAAGTGAAGAGGAATTTGAAAATGTGACAACTTGATATATATAACTTGCATAAAGCTGTGAAAGTCATATAATAAGATGTGATTTCAATTGGGCACATTTTATGTTAGACAAATAGTTCATGGATAGATAATTAAATATTATAAATCCAAAATTTATATGACTTTTTTATATTTAAAATATTTTTTGGTGATTATTTTGAACAGAGGTGAGTGTTACTGATGTATCATCCAGCTGCATACGCTTACACTTCAACAATAACAAATGTAATAATAATAACAATAATAATAATAATAATAATACCTTAATAACTGACAGTGAATATAAATATGTGCACGCACGTACTCATTTAATGTTAAATACATGTTTTTTATTCCTCGTCTTTGTCTGTTTAAACATTCCAAAGATGTCACGTTGTTATGGTAATGTGTTTTCAAGTTGTGAGAGTGTGCTCTTATTCTTTGTGTTTCTGTCACCTGACACGTTATTTAGTAACTATGATTTTCTTGTATCACATGTTGTGATCGGTATGAAGTGATGTCCGTTATCCAGTTGTACAGATGATGAGAATAAATGACCTAATGTTCAATTTACCTGTGGCCAAATCTTAATATCCTTGTCAAGTAAAGATTACTGTTTCTGGGTATGTTACATCATATAGAGTGGTAGAAACTTACCACCTCTTTCTCCCCAAATGTTTGGCCTCACCATTTAAGGGGTTACTCTGTCCTACTACTGGCCTACTGACATTTCCACTTCCTTTCCTTATTTCCTTGTCTCTGTACCCTTGTCTTCCATGTGAATTTTCTTTCCCTTTCTGACTTAGGGTGGGGTGAGATGGAATTGCTTGGTAATCAGGCTGCAAATAGCCTGTTGTATCAGATCTTGATGACAGCTGAGAGAATTGAAGCACTTGATGGAATTACGATGGGGGAAACTGAAGAACTATGGAAAAACATGCCTCATAGCCACTTCATGAAACAAAAATTCAACATGAACTGAGCTGGGATTGAACCTGGGCCACATGAACTATGCCATCGCCTTTTGTGTACCTTACTCTTCAACCATGAAGATAGAGGCAGCAGCTTCCTTCAAATTGTTGGTACCTATCTACCAAATTACACATTGTTACATGTTGCAATTCAGTAATGTTCGCATTCGTGGCCATGAGAACATCAAGTCCTTGTTGATGGATTTCTGTATTCCTGGCGATCACTAATTCCTGGAGAATTAGCCAGTTTTACATGTTCTGCATGTCAAGGTGTTGCCAATTCTGCACACATTAACCTACTAGTATGTCTTACATGAACATTCCAGATTTCGTTGTCCTCAGGGTCTACATTCTAATGCTGTTTTAGGTATCTAGCATTAATTCTTCCAAGCCTGACCCACCAACTGTTGCTTAAAATTTCAGTTCCTTCCTCATATTTCCATCGCAACACTCAATGCTGTGTGGAGGAATACTCACCATTTATTGTGAGACTCATACAGACCACACACTATGTGGGCAAATGCAGAGTTTCTGAATGTAAAGTTGGTGATACATATAATTACCCCCTGTGCTTTAAAGAATTAAAGACATGCAGTACATAACAATATTTGAAATGTGAGAATGGGGGAAGATGAAATAAAGACAAGCTATTCATTTTCATTTCAATTTACTGATTTATTTCTTGTCAAAAATGTTAACTGTCACTGTATTATTATGAGAAATTTCTTTTTTACTTCTATACAAAGTAAATTTGACATAAGTTTAGGAGATAAGCAAAATATATGAGATAGAAAAGAATTTATTTATTTCATTATTAACATAGTTACATTTAATGGAATTCTCCTTTTCATATATTCATAGAATGTATTTTTTTATTGCTAGTGGGGTGGGACTAAGTACTGCAGCCATTCCTGGCCTATTGTACCAGCCCCAGATGATAGGTGAGGGTGACTGTGGAGCAATTGGTGGAATGAAGATTGGCAGGGGAAACCGAAGTACTTGGAGAAAACCTGCCCCAGCGCCACTTTGTCCACCACAAATCCCACTTGACCAGACCCGGGATCGAACTTAATAGAATGTAACAATCAAGATATCCTCTATAAGGATATGAGGGAGAAGTTAAGCACCTTTTTCACTGACACTGTTAAACACTGAAGTTATTCAGAGCTGAAGTGGTTGTCATTTTTTAAAGAGATTTTTCATGTGTAGCATTGAGAGGTTCCTGAGTTAATGTTGTATTTTAGCATCCTGTTGCACTGATTTTCATCCATGATACGTATACAGTGGCCGTCTTGTAGTGCACTCAATTTCACCTTTTACTTCACGACATGTTTCGGCAACATAGTGCCATCATCAGGTGCCCTAATTACGTTAATCTATTGCATTGCTTGCCCTCATATGTCTTCACAACACCATTTAAAAAGTATTTAAAAAGTGCATATTCGTCAACTATAATAAATTTACACTCACTAAAACTTGTTAAGATTATTTATCTTATGTGTCTTAATTAAAACTTGCGTGTGGTTCATTCACTATGGGGCCGTTTTTCTTATTTTCTGTGTAAACCGTGTCTTGTGATGTGTGTTCCCTTCTTAGCTGCGAGTGTTGTAAGTGAAGTAACAGGTGAATTTGAGTGCACTACAAGATGGCCACTGTATACATATCATTCCTGAGTTACACTTGAGCACTCTCACCTTCCTGTGTAAGAATACAAATATTGGCAATGTATTTTAGCATCGGATTAATTCAGGATGAACAGGAATGCGAGAAATGTATGAGATGTTTAGTGGGGAATGCACCAGTCTGGGTAGGGGCATGCTGCCAGAGCGTTAGGACTGCAGGAATAAAGAACAGAAATCTCCATTCGGTAACATTCTCATGTTTATTTGAATCGGCATATGAATGGTGTAGCTTCTATGGTATGGCATCTCTTAGTTTCTTACACATGCGGTCTTTCCTTTGATGTATATAGTATGTTCCTATAAATATTCAGCTTATCAGATAATGTTTCGAGCAAACGTTATAGATCTTAATAAGCTTTATATTTTATACCATATTTAAGACAACAGATGTAGCACGCCTGGTGGACTGCATATGCAGATTTTTGGTGGGAAAGAGACTACTAGGAAGTCACAGACGTAGATGGGAGGATACTATTAAGGTTGATTTTAGAGACGTAGATTGGGGTAGTATGGAGTGGATTTATCTGGCCCAGGATAGGGACCAGTGGTGGGCTCATGTGATCAAGGGAATGAACTTTCACATTCCACTTGAGTAGCTGAGCGACTGGCAGCTTCTGAAGAAGGATTCAGCTCCATGGAGTTAGTTAGTTAGTTAGTTGGTTACTAAGATAACAGATGAGCTGTTTCTGAGGACATTATTCAAGTTCTTTCAGTGAAATAGAAGTTATGTTGTACCTACAATGGGATGACTGTGGACTTGAGTCCTTAAGAAGCTGATACCCACTTGTATTATAATATGAAAATGAATATTAATTTCTATCTAAAAAGTGTTCTGTTGATTATGCATTACGCCCAGGATTAATAGCCATTCTGTAGCTCAGGCATATAGTCTCCGGCTTCCCACTGCTGAGAACTGGGTTTGGTCCCAGGTCAGATAATGTAGGGCTTTGGAAACTAGATCTGTTTTCATCCCCAGTTGAGAGGGAAGGAAGTTGTCTACTCAGTTTGGTCTGTTAGGAGTAACCAATAAGTGATGGGCAAAACACATGATTTCAGTAATCCCAAAAATTACATTTCTCAATACAAATTTTCATTGCAATTTATTTAGTAGTTTTCAAGTTGAAACATGGGGAGGTGCATATACACCTTGCACTCTGCAAGGAATGAATGGGCCAGCGTTCTTTTTTTAATTGTTAGTGGGGTGGGACTAAGTCCCTTGTACTTCTGGCCTATTGTACCAGCCCCAGATGATAGGTGAGAGTGATTGTAGAGCAATTGGTGGAATGAAGATTGGCAGGGAAAACCAAAGTACTCGGAGAAAACTTGCTCCAGCGCCATAAATCCCACTTGACCAAACCCGGGACGCCGCGGTGGGAGCCAGTGACTAACCGCTTGAGCTATGGTGCGGCCATGGGCCAGCATTACAAAAGCAACTATCTGAAGCATCTGTTTGTATAGGAACATGGACAGTGTTATGATAAGAACTCAGAGGTATGTTGCATACCAGTGGATAAGAAGAACCACAAGTACTTCATTTTATGCTCTGTAAGGCAGTGGTACTGTGTGCACCACAAGCTTTAATATTAGGTAACGTGATGTTGCATACACAGAGCTCATTTCTTGGGTTAATTTTTTCTCAGAACAACAACACATTGTTTTCATGAACATTAATTGACATGTCTTTGTGATGGAAATGTATGTTTTCTTGGATTTATGAACATGCCCTCAAAATATTATTAAACATCTTTGCCCTCTGACTAACTGTGGAGTTGAGTCCTTCAAAAGCTACTAGTTGCTGAGTTACTCAAGAATTTCCCAATATTTTATGGACCTCAAAGGTTCATGACTGTGTTCACAAGATCCCTCCACTGGTTCCTATCCAGATCCAAATGAAACCAGCCCATACAACAGTGCCCTATTTCTCTAAGATCCATTTTACTATTATCCTCCCCACCAGTGGCTAGGCCTTGCTAGTGGGCTTTTCCCTCCTGACTTTCCCACCAAAAACCTCTATGCATTCCGCTTTCCTCCCATGCTTGCTACATACCTTGCCAATCTTGGTAGTTGGTAGTTCTAATTATGTTCTGTGGAGAGTACAAGTTATGGATCTCCTGATTATGCTGTTTTCTCCAGCATATTACTACTTCATCTTTCTTCAAGAGTCCAGTAAATAAATAATTCGCCATGTAAGTTGACAGAAGTTCTAGAGAACAGCAGTAGAATCACTGAACCTACCGAGAACTGTAAACCCCGGTTCTTATCTCAGATTTAAAGTTGTTGGTCCGATCTGCCGACTACCACTCTCACCTTGCCCTGTGTGTTACTAGGCGAACTGCTCCATAAACCTCAAGCGACCGCTTACTTAATAAAATGTTGCGAGCGAAGTACTAGGAAAGGACGTGCGCTGAATTTCGCGTGATCAGCCTTAACATACACAGAAACTTATTCTATAAATCATTTTGAAGATAATTTGGGCCTGGAAATAATCAGCAAACTTTATCCTGAAGATGGAGTCAGCAAATTCCTCGGTTTTATTATTATTATTATTATTATTATTGGAGGGGGTGGGTTTCCCCATGCACCGTGATCAGTTTGATCTATTGTACGTCCCCCTGTGATATTCTACCAGTCTCTATACCCTACCGGTACTGGTGCGTGCCATCAGTCCCGACTCAGCCAGCGAGTTCGGCCTCTACTGGCTCAGCGGTATATAGATGCTTCCCCCATCTACCAGAGACGTTAGAGACTATTGTTGGACTGGAAAAGTCCTTCAATTTGGCTCAGAGGTCTCCATCAGACATGAGGTTCTTTTACGTGCCGTAAAGCTACGACACGGGACCCACGGCTTAAAGTCCCTCCCGGAGGACTTGTTCCCTGAAATTTTCCGCCCTTAAAAATTCCACGACCTCGCCGAGTTTGA